TGACAAATATAAGGTTGGCTCATTGGGGAGGAGTGATTTGAGGTGTCCTAGTTGCAATATTGAACAAGAGACAATTTTACACATACTAAGGGACTGTAGAAAGACTCATCAGTTGTGGCTGAAGATTGATTTTAGCCTCCAAGGTTCAATTTTTTTCTCTATGGAATTATCTCAGTGGCTGGTAGTAAACATCAATAGAAGAGTGGACGGTCATTCGATAATCTCATAGTTAACCACTTTTCTTGTAACGTGCTGAAAATTTTGGCATTGGAGGAACATAGCCAAGCATGGGGAGGGGACTACCCATCTGGACATAAAATATCAAACAACTACTGGTTTGACTTTAGAGGTGCAACGAACAGTGGAAGATAGAGGGAACATGATATCTGATGCTGGTAAAGTTTGTTCTAATGTTTATTAACAATTCCCAGAGCCTGAGGTAGTCAAAATCAATATTGATGGTGCGGCACGAGGCAACCCGGGACAGACGGCTTGTGGTGGTGTGTTACGTGACTCGAGTGACAGGTGACTGAATGGATTTGCAATTAGATTGAGGGTATGCTCCTCATTTAAAACTGAATTATGGGGCATTCTTCGTGGGTTGAAGTTGGCTTGGAATGAAGGATTTAATAATGTTATCATAAAAAGTGATTCTTCAAGTACAATCACTGTGCTCCCTTCGGATAGTGAAGCAGTCCGTGAGCTTCAACTTGTTGCTCGTTTATGGACATGGATTATAAAAAATTGGCAGGTTTGTTTACAACATACATACAGAGAAGGAAATATTTGCGTAAATTGGCTGATAAACTACATCCTTAATGTCAATGATCTTGTGGACCAGATGGTATTTGTGGAACCTTCAAGTAGTATACTATTGTTATATTAGGCTGATCTTGCCATTGTAAGGAGGAAGCGAGTCATTGGTATTTCTTAATTAATTTTTGTTTCTGTTTTTCTTTCTTTTTGTTTGGGCCCCTGGCCCATTTGTTAACCGAAAAAAAAGTGAGAGAAAAAGATACAAAACAAAATTTATTAGGGAAGAAAGTGAGAGATTTTTTAATTTAAATTTTAAATAAAAAATACTACTTTTAACGAAATGACAGGTATTTTTTCCTTTCCCTATTATTAAAAATATAAATATCTAAATTAAAACTCAGTGCCACCGTTATTAAACAAATCCATATACTTATATAACTTGAACGAGGTTGATATAAAAATTACAACAAGATGTTCTATTTATTATTTTCATTATATTTTTATATTATGTTAAAAAAACTTTTTTCAACATATTACAATTTTTTTAAAAAAAGTGTAAAAGAAATGACGTCGAAATAAGAAAATTCAATAAATTATTCAAGGGGAGGCCATTTATGTCTAGCTTTCCCCTCCTAAAATAATATCTAAAAAATTACTTATAAAATATAATTTATCTGTCTTGTAAATTATAATGTTCGATAACATCTTCACGTATTTTATTTTTTTTGGTAACCTGAAGGGAAAAAACAACCCCCACAAGAACAGGCTAAACTGGCCAAATACAACAAGTTTTACCAAAATCACATAAATCAGCTAAATACAAAAAAAAAAAAAAAAATACCATAAGGGGGAAAAGGGAAAATACAAAAATCCTCTTGCTCCGGAGACACAAAAGGAAAATTAGACAGCCAATCTGCACATCAATTTCCTTCTCTGTACGTGTGTTTGATAACCACGAACCACTCTCTATTCATCCATGCCCGTATACGAGTAACAATATGAGACTCACAGGCTAGCTCACTCCTTGCAGTAAACATGACTGCTGTTAAAGAGTCACTTTCTATTATTAAATTCCTCCAACCATTATCCCAAGCTATTTGAACACCCTTTAAAATACCCCATAATTCTGCCATAATAGCACTACAATGACCAATTCTGTAGAAGTAACCAGATAGCCATTTGCCAGTACTATCTCTAAAAACACCCCAACATGCAGTCGGACCTGGGTTACCTTTGGCTGCTCCATCAGTATTCAATTTCACCGAACCTTCATCGAGAAACTGCCAAGCAATGGGAACCTCCTCCTTTGTAGAACAAGACACAGTAGCTTCCTTTCTCTTGGACACATCCCAAATTTCCTTCTTTTGGTTATCTACAAACTGCTTATTATAAGCATTATGAAGACACTGACTCCTATGGTACTTATCATTTCTCCACCTCCAAGCTAGCCAAATTGTTACTGCAAAAATAATCTTCCAAGGTACACCCCTGCCATCTACTACATTCACTTGAAGATTTGATAACAGCCATCAATTCTCATCCAAACTAAAGAAATTCTGACAGTATCTATGAGCTTCCAACTTGATCCAAAGATCTCTTATACAAAAACAATCTCTTAAAACATGAATAAGTGACTCGTGCTCCACACGACAAACACAACAACCAGGAACCCCCATATGGAGGTGGTTCAGTCTCAAATTTGTTAGCAATCTACCATGAGCTACCTTTCACATGAAGACCTGAATTTTATGAGGACCCTTCCAATCTCAAATACTCTTCCAGATATCTGACTTTATTGGTATCCCACTGATATGCGTCTAACATATGGAGATTTCTAAGTAAAAGAAGCAAGGAATTAATCATAAATGTGTGAAAATAAGCTCATAAATGCAATAAATATTGATTATTCCTTCTCAATCATTCTCTCACTCAATTTATGCATTTTGATAGCAGGAAACACCAAAAAGAAGTGAAAGAGGGAAGTTAAAATTGCATAGTCTCGCGCAAAAAAATGGCGCGATCCGCGCGGATTTGGCGCTGATCGCGCAGGCGTCATGAATGCAGTCCTTGATTTGTGGAGTCGCGAATTTGGCACTGATCGCGCGGGCGTCATGAATGCATTCTTTGATTTGTGGAGTTTGATTAAAAGTGAAATTTAATCAAATTAATGAGAGGATTATGACCTGATTGATTGGTGGAATTATGAGAAAAATGGAAATTTAATCAGAATTAATTCAAGGATTATGACCTGATTGAGTAGCGGGCTATATAAAGGAAGCAGAAACTCCAAAATAAGATCATCTTTAGCTGGAGAGAATTCTTGGAGGCTCATGTTGGAGATCCTTCATCTTCTTCTTCTTTTTCTTTATTGCTTTTATGAATTCTTTTTATTTTAAATTGTCAGACATGAATATGTCTTGCTAGTTTTTTATATTGTGGTAAGGGTCACAACCCTTGATGTGAACCCCTTGTATTTTGGTTAAGTTTATGATTAATTATTCAATTGAATTTATTTTACTCTGTTCTTCATCCCATAATTCTTTTAGAATTCACGACTCTATTAGGATTGCGAGGGTTAGGGTTCACAATAGGGATATTGGGATTTTAATTCCTGACAAAGGGTAAGATAATTGTTCATGTATGCACTAGGGATAGCTACATGAACTGCAAATGTGGAAAATTCACTGGGCTTAAGGATTAACTTGAAAAAGGATTTCTAAGGGATTAGGATTCTAATAGGGTTAATAAGGTTAAGATCACTAAGGGATTAGGGCTTAACTCATTAATTATAGATGGTGAATTATTTGGTTAATTGGGTAATTAAATATAAATATTAATCAATATTACAAGGAGGGGATCGGAAAGGTGTTGGCGTCCTTTACTGCAATAGTTTTTCTTTTAATATTTTTCTCAAATCTCAATCTTTGATTTTTAATTTCTTCAAATTTCTCTCTGAATTATTCACGAAATATTGAATAGTTCACAATTGTTACAAATACCATTATTTTCAAACCAACCCTTGTTCATCCAATAAGAAAGGAATAGTTAAATTTAAATCTGGTGCCTCAATCCTCGTGGGACGATATCTTACTCACTTTTATTACTTGGTATGATCGGTGCACTTGCCGATTTTACGCAACACCCACTAAGAATTTGACCTTTTGTACACTATTAAATAATTGTATACATGTAAATTTTTTATATATATTTTTTTGAATATTATTATTAAAAAATATTTATTTCCCTTCACATCCCATGTAGAGCTGGCAAAATGGGCCGAGCCCGCCAAGCCGACCCGCCCCGCCCGCCAAACGGGGCGGGGCAGGCTGAGTTTTCTAAACCCGCTGCCCGCCAGCCCGCCCGGGCTAATTTTTTTTTTTTTTTAATTTTTAGTGTAAAATGTGACGGGGTTGACGGGCAACTCGCCCCGCCCGCCCAAACAGAGCGGGGCGGGCTGAGATATCTGGCCCACCTTCAATGACGGGGCGGGGCAGGCCAGCCCACTTTTTAACGGGCTGGGGTGGGGCGGGGCGGGTAGCCCGCTTTGCCACCCCTAATCCCATGTAAATAAAAATTTAAAAAAAGGGAAAACAACCTGTTATATAGTGACACTTTGGCACTTTGCAGCTGCTGATTTTCGAATCTCGCGTAACATCGACTCGCATTGTTTAGGGTCCTAGTCAAGAACCAAAAGTGTTTGCTTTTAAAAATAAATAATTATCTTATACATTGTACTAATATTTTTAAATACGAGTGAGATTTCAAAAAATACAAAATATTTCTAATTAAAAAATATACATGATTAATAATTAATTACATATAGAATTAACATATATATTAAAAATGGAATATGCATAATTAATTTAAAAATATGAAGTTATGTATAATTTTTTTAAAAAAATAAGAAGTAATGTGTCAATTCTTTATAAAAAAGAAACAAATTAAGGTATTAAATGTATTTAATAGATAAATCACAAATATGAGATAATCCTATTCGAAGTAGTGCAATTATAAAAAGGTTTTAACCGAAAAATATGAGATAATTTTCTATCCTATACACCCTTCGATAATTATATCACTTTTTTTTTTTGTATTTTTTTCAGATAATAAAACTCATAAATTTATCTTTATAACATGATATAATTTATTTTCTTTAAGATGAAATTAATAGAACCAACTTTTAAACCCCACTGAAACCTGCGCCAACTCCAACATCATAAAAAAGAAAGAAAATCCTTTGGGAGTGTTGTCCAATCGCATATTATATATCTGCTCGACTGCGCGCTTTGTTTAGGGTTTTTACATTACATCTATCTATCTTTTCATTCGAACGTCGTTCATTCATAACTGTGGAATCCACTAAGCATCTCAATACCTCCGTTTCTGGCCGTAGCAATACTTTAAAGCTCAGGTTCTTTCTTTATCTCACTCTTCTTCAGCTTTAATAATCTTTGTTTCATTCCGACGCGACTCTGTTAGGGTTAGGGTTAGGGTTAGGGTCAGATTCATCGCCCAGCTATAATGATCAGTATACGGGGCGTGACGAATTTATGTACGTTTGATGTGTGTTTCCTTGGTAGTGGTTAATGATCTACGTGTAAGATTGAAGTATTTTTGTTGTATCCTAAAAATGATGTTGTGCTTATTACCCCGAGAGAACTGTTAGCTGGTCTGCCAATTGCGTGATTTCATATGTACAAAAAGTAAAGCATCTTAATTTTCGTGCGTTGCTTTATGATATCTTGAAAATAGGAATTTAGTTAAATTTTTATATTAATACTTTCGTTTACGATTCTGTGAAAATATCAATCTTAGCTGTGGTGGATTGTGGGAGTTAAGGAAGTAAAATTTCAGGGAGCTGTTTAACTTATGAAGCAAATGGAGAAGTTGGGAATAAAATGTTTATTGCGGAATCGGACCCAAGGACAGTTAATTAAGATATATCCTGTTTTACTGGCATTGGGTTTGCTTGGAGTAAGTAAAGAACAAGGAATAGTGCTCGTGTGGTGAGTAGTGACTGTTGACAACTAGTTAATTCAGATTTATCTGCATATGTTTTGTGTTTCACTCCATGACTATCTCCTGAATCATGATAAAAAAATGCCAGATATGCAAAATGAAGATGAAACTTTAGTTTAAAATAAAAATCTTTTGATGGGATTTCAAAGTCATTTTCTGCATTGCCCTTTGATATAAAAGAGGACTTTTAATGAGAAAACGGAGCCCTTTATTCTTTGGTCTTACAGTCCTAATCATTTTGCAAAATCAAAACACATCCAGATTCACAATATCAGATGTCTGTTTGTATGAAACATCAAGTTTTCCTAATTCTCGAACTTGTTTCCAGCTTGTTTCAGAATATTGGTGGATATCTGGTTTCCAATTCATTACGATGTTAGAGAATAATATAAACCATTAAAAAAGTCATCACCCAACACCTTAAGGTTTTGGGTTGAATTGGTTCTTAACATGGTATTAGAGTTTCAGTGACCATAAGGTCATGAGTTCGATCCTCACCGCCTTATACTTTCTAGTGGAATTAAATAAGCATAAAGTAAAAACCAAAAAATTTGGCCTATGCAATATCCACGCTTCAAGCTCAAAGGGCTCTTGTGTGAGGATGTGTGTTAGAGAATAATATAAACCATTGAAAAGGCTATCACCCAACACTTTAAGGTTTTGGGTTGAATTGGTTCTTAACAACGAAAGGGTATCACATTATCTGGTTAAAAACAATAAATCCATTGATATGAACCGAAATGTTTCTAAATAGCTGCTTAAGCGATTACCATCTCAACTTCATGTTTAATACATGGACCAAAACTGGAGACTCCCCTGTTAGTTGCAATAGAAACTGTTCATTTGTCCAACAGTTTCACCAAAATTGTGTTTGCGTTGCTATCTTATGAAATCTGGACCATCTATTGAAGGATTTTTGCACTTTCACCTTAATAGCAGTGCAAACTATTTTGAGATGTAATGTTGAATGAGGTTGTTTAACCAAGTCCAAAATATCATCTAATCAACATGAAGATGAAATTATTTTTTAAAGGAGCGAAAAATAAAATAATGGAGGATTATTATTTATTTTTTATGTCAGTAGTTTTTGTAATGGTCAATTTGTTATTTGTATTGGTAGTGCGAACGATGGTAGTCTGGGAGCATACTACTGCATTCTGTGCTCTCATATTTTCTTTCCATCTAACCTTATATTTGCTTAAAACATAGGTATACAGTATACAGCTATATATTTCGGTTAAAATAAAAGAAGAGAAGAATTACAGCTGTGTACAATAGATGTAGAAAAAGGATTAACCACAATAAAAGTTCAGTTAGTTCAAGAGAGCAAATGGCTATGTAAGTATTTCAGTGTCAGAGGTTGTGATTGTTATGAAAGCTGAAAAAAGCCTCTGATTATGGCTAGAAGTCTGTTCAAGAATATATGTGCATTTTAAAAGCACCCGTCATTTTCACTGGCACGACGTAGCTTGCTTTTGCCATATGTATCTCCATTCCTTTCTCAGCGGTCATTTTTCCATATTTTACCTCAATCCCCTCGAAAGGAAGAAAAGTACTCCTCAAAGTTATATCTCCAGATGATTTCTGTGTGAATCAATATTTTAGTTTATCCATTCACTCTACCATGTTAGCTTAATTTCTGGAAGGGTGGAGTGATATCCTTTCCATTGTTTTTCAGTGCTAGTACTGATCTTATGTTAGGATAGGAATATTATTAATTGTGAGATATACGTGAATATTATGAAGAATGTGGCCCAGGAACTTGTTATAAATTTTTGGGTGCTGAGTGAAGTGATATTTGATTGATGTGAGATGGATTGCTTGTCGAATTTCATATTCTATGCTGTTGGAATTTGCGGTTTTTGTATTTTGAAGGGGAGGTAATGGGTTTGGCTTGGCTTAAGGATGATCTTGGATGTGTGGTTGTGATGTGGACAGGGAGGAGGAGGCGGCGGCTGGTGGTGTTTGTTGTGGTGGGTGTTTTGCTGATCAGTTGTGGTAGAGGTTAGGAAAGAAGAAATTTGAAAATGAGTTCAGACAGCCGGAGTCGAAGCAGAAGCAGGAGCAGGAGCCCATTGGATCGTAAGATCCGCTCCGATCGATTTTCCTATCGTGATGCACCTTACAGGAGAGATTCACGTCGGGGTTTCAGGTTGTTTTTTGGATTTTAATTATTTATTTGCTGTTTTCTTTTCCTACTTAAATGTACTGGTAAGGGAAGCTGAAGAAGGAAGAGGCTTTGAATCTTCATTGTGTCGTTTGTTAAACCTTAAGCATGGCCCATATATTTACAATTGACTGTTTTTTGTGGTATGTTTCTTCTTACTCTGCCTGCTGCTTTGATTAGCTTGAAACTTAAATTGTATGGTTTGCCTCTCAAACATATCCTGTGGTTCTGGTTTATTGGCTACATAAATACCAAAGAGGCATACACCAAGCCATTTGACATTTGGAATGTATGTGTGCATTTCTCACATTGGTAACGCTAATTTGATTTTTTGTCAGCCGAGACAATTTGTGCAAGAACTGCAAGAGGCCTGGTCATTATGCTAGAGAATGCCCTAATGTCGCAATATGCCACAACTGTGGCCTCCCTGGGTATGGAATTCATTCTTTGTTTCTTAAGAACTGAGCTTGTAATTCTGTGATATTCTGCTTTCTGTGAACTTTAATGGTTTTATGTAGTGAAGAAAGATGATTTAGGAAATGATTAAGGGGGGATGGATGGTTGCCTTTCTTGTTGGTTCTTTAATTTGGACCTTCCCTAATTACAGTTTCTTATGTCTAAAGTTATTTAACTAATCTATTGTGTCCATGCCATTTTGAACTTTAATTACATTTTTCTTTATTATGTTTGGATTCTAGTTAGTATGAATATACTCAAGAAATCTCTTCAGGATGAAATATGTTTACATGGCAGTAATGTCCATTCGGAATATGGTGCCGTTTTTTTTTTTCTTTTTGTTAACTGGACTGTGGTTGACTTTTAGGAATTCACCTATTATCATTCATCTTCTGTTCTTTTGTATTTCTCTCTTGTTTAAATGATGTGGTTTTGCTCTTATTCCTTGATTTTAGCTTGTCCTTTCTCTTCTACATTTCATCTTCTTTATGGTAGAAGGTTAGTGTTTAAGAATTGCTTTACCGTATGATTTCTCCAGATTTACTTAGTAGATACCATTGCATAATTGCACCTCTACAATCATGCTGTGTAACTGTTGACTGTCATATTACTTCTATCTATACTGGTACTGTAAGTGCAACTGTGTTAGTGCTATGTTCTTTGTGGATAAAAGCCGTTTTCCTTAATGAATCTGATGGCAGAATACTAATTCCCCCTTTTACAAAAATGTAATGACAACTACTTTATGCGATCACCATGGTCTTGTCTAAGCCTCTCAGTCTTGCCATTTTCTCTTCTGTGATCATTCTACTGATGCCACTTCAACTCAAAAAATTGCCAATCCTGATTTCGTTATTGCTTGCTTTTTCTTACCTGAGCCTGGATTTTCGACGCTGACAGTCTTTTTTGCCTTTACCAGCTCTTTGATAAATTTAAGTTTTGAATTGTGAGTTGTTTGACTTTTACAACCTCCAAATATGAAGTATGAAGTAAAAAGTAAAGGATTATTTAATTTATGTTAGAACTTAGAAGTCAATTATATAATATCTGCTATTGAATGTTTGATCAGGCACATTGCTTCTGAATGCTCCACGAAGTCTCTGTGCTGGAATTGCAAAGAACCTGGTCACATGGCCAGCAATTGTCCAAATGAGGGCATTTGCCACACCTGTGGTAAAGCTGGGCACCGTGCTAGGGAATGCACAGCTCCTCCAATGCCTCCAGGGGACTTAAGGTTGTGCAACAACTGTTATAAGCAGGGTCACATTGCAGCTGAATGTACGAATGAGAAGGCATGCAACAATTGTAGGAAGACAGGCCACTTGGCACGTGATTGTCCAAATGATCCGATTTGTAACTTGTGCAATGTTTCTGGGCATGTGGCTAGACAGTGTCCAAAAGCCAACATTCTTGGAGATCATGGCGGTGGTGGCGGCGGAAGTGGCAGCGGCGGCGTTCGTGGTGGTGGGGGTTTCCGAGACATTGTATGCAGGAACTGTCAGCAATTGGGTCACATGAGTAGGGATTGCATGGGACCCTTGATGATTTGTCACAATTGTGGAGGTCGTGGTCACCTGGCATATGAGTGCCCTTCTGGCCGGTTTGTGGATCGCTACCCTAGGAGGTACTGATGCATGGCAAATTTATGGTTTATGGTTATATTGTTTTTGTCTGATTTTCTAGCCGAGGACAGATTTTTTAGTCTTGGTAGAGTATGTGTTGGCTTTACTATTTTTTACTTGGTAGAGAGACATGGCAATGATGCCATTCTGTCGGCCATTTAGCATTTACGATTGTGCTTGTGCTAGGAATAAGATTTGCTACTTGCAAAGGATGTGGGATTGTATGCTGTGTTACTTGATGAGGCTGTTTTATTTTATTTTTTGATCCAGTACAAGTTTTTGTGGTAATCGGGCCTAGATTTTACGTAATGCCCTGTTAGTTTTTAACAAAACGTCTAAACTGGCCGAATGGTGATTTGGGATATCCTTGCGGAATAGATTTGGTCTTTATTTTTTGATTTGGTACCTAAGACCTTCCCTTTTACACTTGAATTAAAGGTTTTATTGTTGTGGTATTTGTGTGCGTGCGAGAAAAATTGGGTTAATTTCTATCTACACCTTATAATTAGTCGGTAATTTATCTCTTTAGGTTTTATAAATTGTTTTGCTCCAATGACTTCTACTGTTAAACTTTCAAATTAGTAATGCACGGGTTCTCGGTCACAGGCAGTTCAATTTATAAGCATTTCAGTCTAACTGACTTTCTTTTCAACGGAGTAGTATCTCGTCATGTTTTTCTTAACACGGGGTCATGTCCCACGAAAGGAAAAAGGGCTTAAAAGAATTATAGTAAAGTTTATCACTATTTACATGGAATTTTTTGATTTTATTTTTTGGGAATGGAATCACTTACCACCAAAAATATATAGAACCTTTGCAACCAACGTAATTGTCATTGATTTCCGTCAATCTAATGGCTATCATTTATTGGAATTAATAATTAATTAATAAATGCGACCAAATAATTTTTAATAAATGATAACCGTTAGATTGACGGAAATCAACAGCGATTATGTTGGTTGTAAAGGTTGTAAACTTTTTTGGTGGTAAGTCGATCTATTCCCTTGTTTTTTTGTACATTTTTCTTTCATAATTTGAGGTCATGAGCCCTTTTAAATTGAGTTCTTTTTCATAATTTGGTACAGGGTTTTTTTTATTGTCGGAAAACTTAGTGAGAATTTTATTTATCGATCTTTGGTATATGGATTAGAATATTTTTTTTGGGAAAATCGTATTCCCAGAATTTGAAATTATGAAGTAGAATTTCATTTCAAAACGCCACCGGATAGGTGGTATCCGGTGGTATTCTTGAAATTCCATTGACGGGAAAATGGATCAGATTTTTCGGGACAAAAGTATATTTATTTTTTGTACTATTTTTCATTCGTCACTCTTTGCATTCTCTTTCCTCTCCATCTAGAAGGTCATTCCACTTTGCATCTGTTGGAAAACGTGTTTAATGGATCATGAAACTCTCCCAACTTCTCCGAAAATATCTAGCATCGTTGTGTAAGTATACTGGTCATGCTTGAGCATCATTGTGTAAGAGTACTGGTTATGCTTGGACCCTCTGATCCCAGAAGCCCAATTGAAGAACAACAATGCTTTCTCCATTGGAGAGTGTGATCTGAGAACCTGGTTCACCGTGTAGGAGCCCCATTTCACTGGGAGATTCTAGAGCTTTTGCTTAGCAGCCAAGTTGAAAAAACTTTAACGTTCTGTAAATTTTCCTAATGAGGTTCCTCGTATACTCTCTTGATATAGAGGAAGAAGAATCATTCTTCAATTTCATGGGTTTCTTCATGTGGGTGTTGCTGTGAAATGGAGTAATAGGTTTGTTTTTCGGTTTGGGTTGAAGCAACATTGAAGAAAAGCAATTTCTTCGGGAAACTCAGGCCCTGCTTGATTTCTATTCTTAAAAACTGTTTTTAAGTTTTTAAAACTAAAAAGTAAAAAAATCTGTTTGGAAATGATTGTTTTGTAAAATGATTTTCAAAACAATGATTGTTTTTTAGTTTTAAAAACTGAAAAATGGAAACAACCTACGGATGTTCTGGTTAGGAGTTTTCTGATTTTTTTGTTTTCACGGTGGCATGTTCGTAAATATCACAATTTATTAATGGCAATTTCGTAAATATGAAGACTCAAAACAAATGCTTTACGGTGGCATTTTTGTAATTCTGAAACTTCATTAATGGCGTTTTGGTAAATAACTACAAGTTCCTTATAACTTTCATTTAACAACATTCAAACAAGTTTTTTTGTTTTTCTACTCTCAAAATCAATTTTTAAAATTCATATTCAAAATAGTTTTTGAAAACAAAAAAACAAAAAAACTTTCAAACATACCCTCAATTTCTCTACATATTTCTTGGAATTATGATTTCGGGGTTTTTTTTTTTTTCCTTTACTAAACATCTAGGGAAATACTTTTAAAAAGTAAATTGACGTGGAGTCCACCATTTAAGAAAAAAAGGGCTGGCACAATTTTTATTTTTTTTGGATACATGATGAAAGATAAAAAATAGACAGGAAAATATAATAAAGGACAACCTAAGCACAAAGCCTAGGTCAATGAGTTCCTGTGAAGTCACTCTGCAAATGATGCAAACACTTCTCAGATGGAAGATCTAGAAGCTAAGAGAAGTTGCTAGCATAAGCAGCTAGCCAATCGGCCACTCCATTCCCTTCACGATGGATATGAGAAACAGTAACATTACAATCCTTGGCCAAAAGCTCCCTGATGCGACTAATCAAACCAGAAGATGGGTGAGATTGGCTACACCCCTTAAAGACCAGTTGTTGAGCTAACTGAGAGTCTCCTTCTAACCACACATTTCTAAAACCTTTGCTCCAATCTACATCTAGACCCACCAATAAAGTCCATAATTCTTCATTCAAAGCTGTTCCGCTACCCAGATTCTTACATAAACCAATAACTCAGATACCCAAGCTATTTCGAAGAACACCACCATAGCCTGAGTGTAATCCATCACTTGAGCTAGCCCATCAACATTTATCTTAATGAAATTCAAAGGAGAAAAAGACCAAACTATAAGTTTCTTTGTTTGAGTTGACGACTCCACTCATGTCACCGAGACCATATCTTTTGGATGGTACAAATTTTTGATGTATGTCGAATTCCCCTATTATTAATATTTCAAACACGGTTATAGTTGTATAAGCCGAATGGGAGGATGACGTTAGGTTAGCAGTTCAATCGCTGGTCCATTGACTAAACAAGGAAACTCAGTAAAGGAGTTTTTTTTTTAATGCTTAATATAAAAAACTATATTACAAGTATTTTTATATGGAAAAAAAAATATTGCGTAACATAACTAATGCTAATAATAGTTAAATTGGACTAGTTAAACAAAAATCAATAGCTAATAGCATACGTTTATAATAGCGTTCAGTTTAATAATATAATATTTCATTACAAGAATCTTTTTTGTATAATGATTAAATTTAAAAAAAAAAATATTTCTGCATTTACTCCCAAAATGACGTCTTTTTGGGATTAAAAAATTAAAAAATTATAATTATAATTATAAAGATTAAAATAAACCTGAAATAAATTAAAATTACAAAAACACCATGATTTCTTCTCCAAAATAACGTCGTATTGGGCTTACTGCAGATAAATTATCTGCAACAGAAAAAATGAACCCTTAAATTTTATAATTACTTCTTTTAAAATTTTCTATTTTATAATTAGAGGTATGGTTTTAGTATCTCAAAGCCTATTCGGTTTCCTTCCTTTTAAGGAATGTTTAAATGGGGGGAGTTTGAAGAAAAAATAAATGGATAAATTCTATTTTATTAATTGAATAGTATTCTTATGTCATACATTTTTTAAAAACAGACAATTAATTTAAGGGATTATACAATAGCTCTCTAATAATTTCTGTTTCTTTTAAAATAATGAACCCTTGATTCTGTTTCTTTTTAATTTGGAAACGAAAGGTTTTAAGAAGATCAAAGAGGAAGATTAACTCTATATTTCTAAATTAGTTTATAAAAAAAAAGTAATAATTGAAAAGCTTTGTGCAAATCTCACATCATTCATACATACAAGATGGTCGACGGATGGGAACCGCCTCCTTTCTATGAGAAGACACCAAAACACAGAATCCGTCCAAATATCAATTTCTTCGTGGCATAGGCTACGTTCTTCTCATGTGGTCGTGTAGACGTGTCTCTTTTTTTTTTTTTTTTTTTAAAGTGTGTATGTTATTGTACCAAAAAAAAAAAAAAAGTGTCTATGTACATTTATGACAGCAATGCCCCTCAGGGTATATTCCATTCAATAATTTCTCAGCCACCACAGGCCATCCGTGATTCTGTCGTGACAAAAGAAACACAAATAAAACCTCAATAAGGCAACTTTTGATCTTTCTATTTGTAAAGTACATCTGTTCTGAAGCTTCAAGTACTAACATGGCAGGATCTCAAGCTTCGGAGGAGGTAGTGATAGTTGGTAAACCTGTCCAAGAGCTGGTCTTGCATTCTGAAAACTTGCCAAATGAGCATGATCCATGCCCTTTTTCTCTGTGAAACGCACCAATAAAAACTCATTTTCGACATTTGTTATTATTAGTTGGCTTTCCCTTGCCCACATGTTGTCTAGCCTCTTCTTCATAAAAGTTAAAAGACAATTTTTTTCCAAGCAACTTCACAAACATCGCCTAATGCCATGATTTCTAGAGACAATTAATCTCTTTCCCTTGGCTTTTACTCTCAATGCTTGAAAGCATATGAGAGTAAAAGGTTGGTCCTCACATCCCTATCCACCTCGAAGGTAACCTCTGACTTGGTGATGCCATCCGGTGAGTGGAATAATTTGGTTTTAGATTTCAACTCTGCAGTTTTGAACATGGTGATGACATTCGGTGAGTGGAATTTGGATTTGCTTAAACAATGGTTGCCATTAAATGCAAGTGATATAATCCGTAATACTCTTCCTCCTTCGTCAGAGGATGGACGGGACAAAAGAGTTTGGTGTTTTTTTTTTTTGGAAATCGACCACACAAATCGAAAATGAAAAAGAAAAGAGAGAGAATAGACGCAACGATTTATTTTGGTTCATCCAATTTAGGTTATGTCTAGCTTGTCTGTACTATATTCACATCACTGCCACTCATTACAAGTCACTCGGTTTACAAGGCAAATATAAATAGGATTAAAAAATTCCAACAACAGCTATTCATGGGCTCAAGCCCAAACTGCTAAGAAAATTACAATAAAACAGAGGCTCACAACAGTACTTAGCCTCTACGGGCCTGGGAGCGCTGCCCCCCGGAGCGGGACCCTAGTTGCCTTTTTGCTGACCCCG